TTATAATATAGTATATAAAATATAATATTAAATATATATATATATAGAAAATTTATTATGAAAAATATAATTTAAATAGTTGAAGTGAAATTGAAGTAAAATTGTAGCATTAAAAAAGATTTTTATTAAAAGATAAAAATAAATATTTTTTATCCGAATTAATGGTTGATGATAATGATCTATTGTAATGCAAAAGAAAGATTGAGCTCTGTACAATTGTTATTGTTATATTAATTAATTATGTTTATTGAAAACAATAATATAATGGATTCAAAAAGCCAATATTTACGTTTAAAATATTTGATTTTTTTATGGTCTGTGCATGGCTTCTCGACTCCAAAGATTAGTATTTTTTTTTTGTTGACAAGTGCAATGGTTAGTAAGTTAGTTTTTATTAGTTATTAGCAACTGGGGATTCAATTCCCAGATCTGGTGAACATCTCACCTTCCTCAATGAGGCGTGCGGCCCATCGGGTCGCTTGGTGGAGTTCGATTAGTATACCATTTGAATGGAAATGTGAGATCATTTATGTTTTGGTATTTATTTAAGATTTTTAAAATTTTATGAAGTATTTATTTTGTATTTATTAAAGATTTAAAAATGTCTATTGAGTATTTATAATTGAGTTCATATTAAAATAATTGAAATAACTGAAATTAAATTAAAGTATAATTATATTAAAAGGAAAGATTATTATTGAAAATATAATTGAATTTGAATGTTAAAAATCTATATTTATTTAGTATTTATTGAATATCTTAAAGGTAAAAATATGACAAAAGGACCTGAACTTACACATAATTCGTAATTTTGGACTCATATTTCAATTGCACTCAATTAAGGTCTCAAACAACACCTAATTCTCAAATAAGGTCCCAATTGGACGGAAAACTAACTTCCGGTCCAATCTTCTGTTAACTCGTTAATGTCCGTCACACTCCATCCGCCACTTGAAAAAATTATGCTGATATATCATTATTTTGCCACGTGGATACCATGTAGACATAATTTTATAGATTGTCTTGGACGAGCCCCAACACTTTAATATGAAAGATAAAAGTAAATTTAAATAAATCAAAAAAATTAAAAAAATCAAAAAGGTTAAAAAAATTAATTATATAAAATTATTAATAAAATTATCATATAAATAATAATTTTATAAT